TCAGATCGTTTTCAAATTCTTCGATGTTCTTGTTTGAAATTTTAAAAGTTTTTTCATGTTTATAAACATGCTCGAAATAACTAGAAACATGTTCAGGACCACATGCCGCCAGCCACTCGCTACATAGCTGAACGACGGCATTCAAGTTAAAACGAACATTCTGCTGTCGTACATAATTCTTTAAACCAGCCCAAGCAAGCTCAATTGGATTTAACACACAATGCTTCACCGGTATTCTAACAATTTCAATATCATATTTGTTAGCTATTTTATCAACTATGAATTCTTTTGGTGGTAAATGATTAAAAGCTAATGGAATTAATTCTGCCTTTGTCATATAAGTTTCAAATTTGATTTTTCGTGCAGTTAACCATTCAACAACAGATTCTTTTTTCCATGCACGTTTAGGTGGTTCAGATTCTGGGGTAAGTTTGTTATGCCATGTGGCATTATCTATAATAATAGCAATTTTGGCTATGTTTCCATGTTCAGTCCGAAGAGTACTGGCTGTACAGTCCATCCATGCGACAAAGTGATTATGGTCAATTGAATGTACTTCATCACACTTGAAGATATCCAACGAACGAAGGTGAAAACCATTTAGACCAAGGAGATCACTAATCCCTAAACGCTGACGTGTAGAAATCGAAAGACAAAACACAGTCGAGAAGAGTTTGGAAAATGACACTTTACTCATCACCTTTTCCTACATTGTTTCGAAGACGTCCATATCCTTTATCATCAAACCATACAATTGTTTTTTCTTCATTTTTACATAACCATGTCTCATCGTGATAGTACAATAAAGAATTCATTGATCGCAATTGATCGATTTTTCTAAAGTACACAGCACGTTGAGCTTGAAAGGCCACTGAGTCCATTAAAATCTTTGATTTTTTGGTTTCTCTACACTTAAACCCCAGTATTTTCATTTCGCGACGCAATGATGTTTTTGATTTTATCGGAAATTCAGGATATTGACTTAACTGTGTAGATAATAAATTTTCAACAGTAGGGTAAGTTTTATCTTTCAATATATTATGAAATGTTAATCTAATTGTATCTTGTTCAAGAGTTGTTAGTTGTACTTTCGGACGACCTGGACGTCTTACTGGTGACAGTGACTTTGGAGACAACGAAGAACTTGATGAACGCGTGTGTCTAACAGATTCTTCTTGTTCGTCCTTTAATTTTTTCATTTCACGTTTTAATCGGTAGACTGATCTTTCGGAGATGCCAAGTATTGCTTGGAGACGATCAGTAACATTATTAAGAGCTATTGATGGGCCATATTTTTCTTTTTCGACAAAATCGATTATCGAAAATGCCATTTGTTTGAACTCCAATGAAAATTCTTTTGGCATCGTGAAATATGAAAAAGTATTATATGTGAAACGATAAATTATAAATGAGCTGTAAAGAATAAGCCTTCCTTATATCTTCTTATTACTAGCGATAAGCACATACTCATCCACATATTTTACCTTTCTCTGCCATACAAGAAAATTATTTTCTTTCATATCTTTTTATCATATTCAAGCAACAAGAACGTATAAACGATTATGCGAGCATTTCTTTCATATGAAAACACCATATATGAATAATGCTCATGTATAATTAATAAAAAGAAACTATTCTAAAAGTAAAACAAACGTTGCCATGATGTTCAGCATAGTCGATAACCTATGTTTGCATGTGTTTATAATAGTTCTGGATCTACAACAAAGGGAGTCCTAGGGCTTCCAGAAAGCTGTTTGGTTCTCCAAAATGCTACAAGATAGAACTTTCGTTTATATCTCGTATTGTAGAGGAGACTGTGGGCTATCTACCCAGATAAAAAAATCAATATCCTCCTATGGCAACTTTCAGACAAC